TAGTTGATATAGTAGACATATTAGTTATATCTTTCTATGTAATTTATTTTATATAAATAGATAGCTTTTTAGTTCATGTAAAAAGATAGATAAATAGGAACTTGACAAATTAGTTTTTAGTAGTATTAAGAGACAACTGGCCTACTGCGTTACATTCTAGTTTAGTATTTCATTTCTTCTCTTTTTCTATTTTATTTTCTTTATTTTTTTTTATTTCTCTTCTTTTATTATTTTACTCGTGAATAAACACATTATTTTACAAATATAAATTACTGGCAATCTGTTAAATCATAGTTTCTCATAATAGTATAAACACTTCTAATAATCAGTCTAACATAAAACTTACAAACTGTTAAAAGATTACTGCACAATTAAAAAGAATAAATCACTTGAATACCCTGTCTAATAATTATAGTTCACAAAAATTATACGTTAATATTTAACGATGATGACAGAACTATCTTTTCCTAATTGACACAGTAATAACTCAAGCGAAACACCCTATAAATAACTTTAGAGAATTAATTAAGTATCAACGAAGTCATTCATCTGTACACAATAGACAAAAGTGTAACTTAAGAAAAACTACTAGTAATTTTATTTTAACAGACGATCTATCCTGTATTGCTTGTAATCCACCCCCTAAGGATATTCCTCAATCTTTTCTTAATTTCTTTGAGTGAGAACAGAAAGTCTTAGGAGCGTCATTATACACTAGCAAAAGTTTAGAAGCTTTTCAAACTGCAATTTCTGTAGAAACTACTACTGTACAAGAAGTATACTATAAACAGACACTTAACACTCTTAGATATAAGAATGTACCTATACTAACTTTTGAGTGAGCCATTACCTATTATATTCGAATCTAAGCTAAAACTAATTTCTTCCAGAAGAAATTTCAAGGTGATTTACTTACCTACCTAATATATTACTTGTAAACTCTAGTCGTAACCTTTCTCTTTTCAGAATGACTGAACCTTTTAAAAATACCACTCTTAAAAGTAATGATGCTTCCAAGTCAGCTGAAGAGAATTTCTCCTTACTTTAAGGGAGCTACCTACTACCTGAAAAAACCATAATTGCTAATATCACTCCTAGCAGAAAAAATATTAGCAAGCGAATGTTAAGTTTTGACAAATCAACTTTTAGCTCCTATAGAGAAATAGAAAAACCATCTAAGTTAACCTACAAAGAATCTTCAGATAAAAAAGAAACAACCTTAGATCAAAAGAATACTAGTCTTTTACGCTTCTCAAAACATAAAATTAGTCATTCACAGGATCAAGATAAAAGTTTAAGAGAAAAGGAAGTAATAAACGGAAATGCTATTACTCTCCTTTCTACTATGATAGTTCTTCATCTTTTTTTAGTTCTAAATCTAACAATCACCATTCTGACGATACTGAGAAAGGAGACTCATTTGATAAAAATAACACAAATAATCAAGATGAGCAAAACTTCTTTAAAATGATGAAAGAATTGCAAACTGTCTTTAAAACTGTTAAATTTGAAAGACAATGGAAAGCAAAATTCATATGATGCAAATCATCTAGTAAATAAAAATAAAATTGCCTGACTTTAAAATCCTAAAACTTTTGTTCTATATGCTATAAAAAAAATTATCTACAATAATTATAGAGCAGACAATAAAGAATAAAAGTTACAGTTTTAAATATTTAATTAATTAGAAAGTTTTTGAGTTTTAGGCGATTGAAAATTATGATTTTTTTATAAAGTGTTCAAATTTTGGATATTGATCTTATCATGTGACATTGATTTTATCTAATAAAATTCGATTACGTAAAAATTACCTAATGAAATATGTGTAATATGATATAATGCAAATCGATCAGTAAATTTTTTTTTTAAAAAAATTTCTTCTTCAAGCATACCCTGATTTACAAAAAGAAAAACTGCAGTAAAAACAAAATCACAATAAGAAAGAAAAATTTGGCATAAAAACTAAATAAGTTTATTAAATTATTTAATATATTTATAAAAAAGAATACATTTATTTAAATTAGTATTTTTTTTCTAGAGTTGAGAATGATGCAGAAGTGAACATATTAGAGGAACAATTAGAAATAGATTTGAATAATACTTTTAGCAAAAGGAATTGGGAAAATAATGAGATAAGTGATTGGAAAAGTGATATTGATTTAAAAGTAGAACAAATATATAGAATAGACTTTTGAAGGTAGATTTTAGATTGAAATAGAGACTGATTGTCAAATTATAAAAGAAAAATGCAGTCCTTATAAAGTAGATAAAACATCAAAGTTAACTTTTTATGACAAATGGGAACCTAGTGGCTCATGGACAAAAGCAGCAAAGAGAATCCAAAAGTTAGAAAGATTTTTTAGTCGGCAAGATGGATAAATGCAATAAAGTTTTTAAGATATTTTATCAGATGAAGAAGAAGTTTTTGTGTTTGTCTGGCCATCAGAAGATATAGTTTCAAATTTAAAGAGAGATTTAAAAGAAAATTTTAACAGAATGTTGGCAAAAGAATATATTAAGAAAAGGGCTATATTTGAATATCTCATGCGTTTATTCAAAGGAGAGAAAAAGATATATTTTAAATTATTTTTTTTCAGCTTTTTTTTAGTTTTATTTCTGCTATAAATAAATGCTAAATAAGTAAATAATAAGAAAATTTATTGAATAAATTTTTTTATAATTGAAAAATTTTATTTGATGTAGTAATCAATTGGAATATCAAAAGATATCAATCGAGGTATTAATAATTAAATAAATTTATAGCAATAGGTATATTCTATTGGTATCAAATTAGTAACTGATGGGAGCCCAATTTGTTTGCTCTGATTTGAATCAGTTTGTACTCTTTTGCTGCTATTTTATGATAGAAATCAGGTTTCTAAATAAAAAAAATAAGGTACCAATTGGTTATCATCTGAATTACTGGATGATAACTAATTAGTACTTGATTTGTTATCATTCGACCTATGAACTGGAATATTAAATAATATGATCATCACAAATAACAAAGGTTAATTGTCAAAAAAAGAAATTAATGTATAGATATTTAATTATAGTTCTAATAAAATCTTTATGTAAAAATATTTACTAACATAACTATGAAATAATAGTTGTAAAAGCTAAGGAAACTCATGAAAATGATGAGAATATTGCATATAATATACAGGAAAGAAATTATTTAGAAAGTTATGCATATAATTTACATAACATTAAAGATGACACCTCAATTAGTTGCAACAGGTGACAAATAGGCATCACAATGTTGCAACGAATTGCAACATTATTAAAATTTAAGT